TTATTTCCAGAGTATCATCTATTCTATGTGCTAAAAGAAGATGAAGACAAAAAAAATGTAGCTACGAAATTTAAAGTTACATTAAAATACATATACACCAGTAGATTAAATTGAGGCACATCCTAACTCCACATAAACCTGTTTTCTTGACTTTCCAAATTTCATTTTTGACACTGTAAACTATTACATTTTTTAAAAAAAAAATCATTTAATTGATAATAATCATTGTGCACAACTCTACCACCTTCCTTCCACTGTATCATTGTAAGGCATTGCATTTTGGACCATCAGCACTGCGGTGATCACCATCGAACACCTGAATTGGCAAGTCATGCCTGACAAATTTGGTGACCTTCTACAAAGGGGTTACAGCAGCAGTGGACAAGGGAAGATCAACTGGTATCATCTACTTGGACTTGTGCAAAGTGTTTGACACTGTCCCACGTGATATCCTGGTCTCTAAATTGAAGAGACATGGATTCGACAAATGGACCACTCAGTGGATAAAGAACTGGCTGGACAGTCGCACTCAAAGAGTTCCAGTCAATGGGTTGATGTCCAAGTGGAGAGCAGTGACGAGTGGCGTGGTGTTCCTCAGGGGTCGGGACTGGGACCTGCGCTGTTCAGCATCTTTGTCATGGACATGGACAATTGGGTCGAGTGCACCCTCAGCAAGTTTGCCGATGATACCAAGCTGTTTGGTGAGGTAGACACGCTGGAGGGGAACAAAGCCATCCAGAGGGACCTAGACAGGCTGGAGAGGTGGGCCCAAGCCAACCTCATGCAGTTCAACAAGGCCAAGTGCAAGGTCCTAGATCTGGGTCAGGGCAATGCCAAGCACAAATACAGGCTCAGCACGGAACAGCTGGAGAGCAGCCCTCAGGAGAAGGACCTGGGCATGCTGACTGACCAGAAGCTCCGCATGAGCCAGCAATGTGCAATTGCAGACCAGAAGGCCAACCGGATCCTGGGCTGCATCAAAAGAAGTGTGGCCAGCAGGTCAAGGGAGGTGATTTCGCCCCTCTACTCCACTCTCGTGAGACCCCACCTGGAGTACTGCGTCCAGCTCTGGAGTCCCCAACAGAAGAAGGACATGGACCTGCTGGAGCGTGTCCAGAGGAGAGCCATGAGGATGATCCAAGGGCTGGAGCACCTCTCCTATGAGTAGAGGCTGAGAGAGTTGGGGCTGTTCAGCCTGGAGAAGAGAAGGCTCTGGGGACATCTTATTGTCACCTTCCAGTGCCTGAAGGGGTCCTACAGGAGAGCTGGGGAAGGACTTTTTACTAGGGCATGTAATGACAGGACGAGGGGGAATGCCTTTAAACTGGGGGGGGGGGTCCCCCTGCCTATGGCAGGGGGTTTGGAACTCGATGATCTTCAACGTCCCTTCCAACCTAAACCATTCTACGATTCTATGAAAATACAAGTACAGAGAGATACAAGATAAAATTCAACCACTGGCTTCAGAACTCCACTTCTGTGGACAAGGCATAAAATGCCAGAGGCTGCTAATCAGCATCAGTGATAATGGCCTATATATATGTGAAAAACTCATTTTACAAAGAGCAGAGTTTTACCAGATTCTGTTTGGTAAAACATACTTCTCCCACACTTATCTACCTCCATGTGCTGTACTAGTGCACTGCATTATGTTCTTTTATTAAAAATAAACAAAATTTATTTTCTTTTACAAAAAAAAATAAAAGAAGCTTACTTTCTTTTATGAAAAATAAAGGTCACAGAAATAATGCCAGTGGTCAGCAGTGCCAATAAAACCAGAACCCAGGTAATATTTCTTGGTTCCCAGCACGGTCCCCACCTTCCCCTGACCTGCCTGATAAGAAGCAATTGCAGCAGCAAAAGCATCCACTTCGCTTACGTCCCAGTTAGTGGTGAGTGCCACACACTGAAATAGAGTTGCAGTGCAAAACCAAGAGCCAGTACTGATGAGAAATGAAATGACTTTAAATTATCTAGCAATTCTGAGTTAGCCAAGCAGAGCTGGAAGGTAGTGACTGTCAACAGCTTTAGCTTAGGCCAATCCAAACATTTCATGAAGCAACAAAAGGCATCCTTATCATTCCAGGATGACTTTCTAGATAATTTTTAGGTTGCAAAAAGTTGAAATGTTGCAACGCTTTTGTAGCATAAATTCTTAGTGGGCTAAATATTGATATGAGCACCGACCTCCCACTGTTTCTATAATCTTCTGACTCTTTAAAAAACAAAGTTGTTCATTTTCATAATCTATGAATAAGTTGCAGATCTGAATTCCAACCTCTCAGTGAAAGAAAACTACCAGTCCAAAGAAATTTGTCAGTATTCTAACCAAGACAGAAGTTTTCTGTGGTGGCTTTGGTTTACTCTTCTGATCAGTCGGGATCAGCGGAATTGCGGAAAAGCATACAGGAACTGATTGCCTAGTTAAAGGTGAACCAGAAAGAAAGCACCTATGAAAGAAGTAGGAAGTTTTGACCATGACTTTCTCTTTCTTGCTTGTCTTTCACCTGCTTTTTACAGCAGCAGATGATGCTCCTCAATTTTCAAGGTTCACATACACAGCTATGTCTGCCAATGTATTTTCTTGTCCTCAGACAAATTGACATTGGTAAGATGCAGCTCCATCTGAAAGTATTACAACCAGATATTAACTGATTCTTGATAACTCTCACTCCAACACCACAACACATTGTCACTGACTGCTGGCACATATTGGCTTTACAGACACCTTACAGCGTCAGCACACTGCTATGTAACTGACTGGATTTTGGCTTAGCTCCCCTTCCTGGGATTGCTCCCAACCGTATCAACGTATCTGCTATCAAACTTGCCGTTGGATTTGCTAACCAGCATGTTATTTCTCTGCATATATTCTTACGCAGATGACTATAGCAAAAACTAATAATCTCTCGAAAGATGTTTGTTCTGTTGACAAGGCCATTCAACTGAGGAAAGTAGAGCTCTGTCAACTAAAACTGTAAGGTATTAATCTTAAATATTGCGTGTTACAGAGAGACACGATGGCCCAGGCCCAGCAGTTTCAAGGAGAGGTGAAGGGTGGTGTCTGGAGAAGTCCAGACCAGACTGTGCAAGGCCAGCTCTTGGAACCTGCCCTGAAGAAGACTCATTGGCCACACTGTTGAGTTGATGATAGCTCTGATTAATGTCACAAACTACGCTACACTAAAAATGGATTTCCCTCTGTTTATTTTCAATGCTGGGCCTTGCAAAAAGAGCAGGCTGTTGGTGGGGCTTCAAGTAAGACTAAAGTCAGATACTGACAGACAAGGAAAGTTTACCCATACTTAACTTTCTATCATCTTGTCTTCCTTACATCTTTAAAGAACTAGAGTGGCTAGAAGTCTTTTCACACTTCTAAAAACAAAACTCCCACACCCTCCTCCTGCAAAACCTTTAAAATAGTTACTCTCTCCTCTGTACTTCACATACTTGTCCTATTTGTGCCCCTTCCCCCTCTTAATTGTCCTCAAAGACAGTAAAAGAAAAAAAATGAAACTTTAATTCCTTTGACATTGCAACTGGAGTGGGCGGCTAAAATAAGAAAAAGTGAAATATTTATGCAATATAAAAACTAAGATAAAATTGTGTTTAAAAAAAATCTACCTAACCAGCTGTTCAAAACAGTAAAAGCAGAAATAAAATAATTAATCAGTTCTGCCAACTCCCGAGGATTTTGTCACTGGCAACAGTAAGATATTTTCTATTTCACTTGCAAATATTTTTTCATTCATGTATTAAAAATCACGCCTCAGTTTTTGAGTTGATGAAGGAAACAACATGCTCATGCCAGGTTTAGGGTTTCTTATGGAGGTATCGGTACTGCAGATAGCAGTTTTCCCTCTGTGACTGTGGGAGAAGGAAGACCATACAAATAACGTCACTTACATACAGCATAAATAAATTGTTGACATCCTACCATTTTTGTACAATCACCATTTGGATCAAATAAAAAAACAAAACAAAACAAAACAAAAAACATTTCTTCTTTTTTTCCAGATAAAACATGTTTCTTTTGTCTATGTATCTCAGGGAAGAAGGAAAAAGACACTAGTCTCTACTTGCATTTCAGCACTTGGATTTTACGGAATGTCCTACCATGATGTTCTCCCCACATCACAATCCTGGAAATCTGGGTTGTTTCTTTCACATCATGAGATCAAGCATGTGAAGTGGAAATCTCTCTTCCTCCTGAAGAGCTGTTTCAACGCTGGGGATGCTGCTACTTTTTGCTCCTGACGCAGAACCACATTTTGCCAGCGTGGAGGAAAACAACTGAGGCTTTGGTGAAGAGGAGCTGCAAGCTCGCTCACAGGAGTGGTCCAGTCTTGGATTACAACTCTTAGGCCAGCCTTGCACTACAAGCTGCCATTTTTTTCCATCACAGTATTCTGTACTGTTAATGTCCAAACTGCTAACTGGGTATTTAATTTCACGTATGACAAAACTTAACAGAAGCAACATACAGCCTAAATGCTTGGCTTGTTGGTTTTTTTTTAGGCATTAGGGTTGAGATCTTCAATGTGCAAGGAGATGCTCAGTGGGATATTCTTAATTGCCTAGGCCTAATTCCCACCGAAACTTCAACGTATTAAAAATCTGGCCTGTGGTTTTACCACAGAGCTAAACACAACCAACAACATTCTTACTTTAAAGTTTCAATGCAATGTATGTATATTATCATAAGAAATTACTTTAAAATTATATTCAAACACTTTCAGTCTCCACTCATAAACTGGCACCATTTCTCATCCTTGAAATTTTGAAATTAGTTGTGCTGTACTATTTCGTAACAGAAATACCTGTCAGTCAGAGAGATCCCTTCCTTTCCACCTATTCACTTTTGTTGAGAAATAAACTCTCAAGTATTGCACCATATAGTGAGACATAGTTTAGAACAAGACCTTTTCTACAGACTTGTAAACAGTATAACGGTGGATTTTCTATCCTAAAATTCCTGTAATCACAATTTTTCTGAATACCTGAAAAAACCCCGGTGGTACAGGACCTACTGGCATGCCATCTCCTGGGGGTATGTTTCCTAGCACTGGACTGGGAGCTGCTGCAGCACTCTGAAAAGAACAAAGGAGAATAAACCTTTGTCATTGCATGGTAGGCATTAAACCCCCAAAAAAACCCAAACCAAAAAAAACCCCCGAAACCTGAGCAAAATGCAGAAAGCAATTATCTGTATATGCCATAACGTCATTGTTTCATCTGAAGGTAAATTAAAATTGTATAGTGTTTAGTCTTCATTTATACAGGTATAATGCTTTGTTAAAATAACAAATGTATGTTGAGGGGAAGGATGCTAGAGATTGCATGGGTACACAAATATGCGTGAATTAGATAAATCTTGACTAGATTTTAAAATATATTGCATCTGAGCGTGTCTTTATATACATACAAATGTGAATGCAACTTGCACACTTTTTTCTTGTATTATGTGTATAAACACCCTCACACATGCACAAGGATAAACATATAGCATAAAAAACTTATGCATTTTACCAGCAATTTCCAAGCACTTTAAAGATAATTTCAGCAGACAGTAATATTCTTTCACAACTACACCAAGCTTCAAGACAGGATTCTGTTACAAACAGTACAAGAAGGAATGCTCACGATTTTGCTGGTAATGCTTGTGATTTTACCAACCCCCAAAATAACCACCATGACGAATTAGAAGAATTCAGGTTATGTTTTTGGAAAGGAAAAGAAAAAAGGGATTTCTAAGAAGTGAACCAGAGGATGAAATTAGTTACCTTTGCAAATCCTTCAGCTGGAATAAGCAAGTAAAGAATATTGCTTCTGGCAATTTACAAGCAGGAGATCGTCACAAAAAGGGAAGCCAAACTGTTATTGTTGTCATGTATTGGAACCTCAATTACTTTTAATTTCTAGCAGTCTTCCTTCCTGCAATATGTTTCTGTAGGGCATAAGGCTGAATCACCTATAAAGGCTTACAATGTTCTGTGAAAGTACTCATGCACACACAATGCACGGAGAACCACTTGCAGCTTACTAATGACCTGCCAGTATCTGCCCTACAGAATATGAATGGCTTATGTTTATTAACTTATCACTCTATTGTACGCTCACACTTGATATCCAAAAGATGCAGATCTGGAAATTGTATTTCCAGGTGTTTGGCACACTATCTAGGAAATTAAAGAATAATGCTGGAAAGATTCGAAAACTGGCACAAAGAAGGGCTGACCTTTTTAAACCAAGCAGAAAGGAAATATTCAGTTAATTACCACAAATTTTTCAATGGCTTAAGCTGTGCTTTAGAATCAAATTTCTGAACAACTAGCTGCAGCATATTTAGCATCTAAGCTCTATGTTCTTTCCAAACAAAAGTATAGAACGTATCATTAAAATACAAAGCCTGCAGAAAGTGCTGGCTTCAGAACTGAGTGCAAGACTTTGATTCACTAGAAAACCCTGTAATAAAGGGCCTTATTTATGCAAGGATCTGTGGTCTGCAGGATTAGCGTTAAAATTCTGATTGATAGAAAAATCCAATCAGGTGAGTTGGACCTAGCAAATGCTTTTGAATTGTAACACCTTCTTGTGAGAGGCCACCACAAACCAACCAAACCAGCCTATGAAGCTGTAGCAAGTAAAGACGGTTCCCCGCTAGTCACTGCCATTCTTTGAGCACCGCTTAAAGTTCATGACACCGGAGTACGATGCTGCTTAGACGCATGCAAAATCATGTGACTCCCTGGAAGGTCTCAGGTACTTCTCTCAGGTATGTTGCAGTCTTGGGGGCTCCCAGACAGAGGGGCAAAAAGCAAGTGGTGTGAATGCACAGAAATAACTCCTGAAGAACAAAATATTTTTGTTACCATTCCTTTCTTTTGCGTGGTTTCTGTGAATGTCCACTAATTACTTTCAGATTATCTACATTTCCAAAGGAAAATCGATGAGAAAGTTTTCAGCTTTTTTTTTTTATTAAGCAAAAAATGACCTGTTTTAACTGATCATCAGGTAACAACGTCAAGTGAAATCACGAATAGGTGCAGGTACAGTCTGAGTGCAGTGTGTTGATCTTACTTCCATAGGTACAGGCTTTCTAAATGAAGAATGACAACAGGGACATCACTGAAAAAAATCAATGATGTTAAAAGCCTGAGCATCTCAAGATGTCCAAAATAGCCTGCACTGCAGTCTCTGACTAAGAAGGAGTAGGCCATTAAAGGGGCACTAATAATGATGAATCTTATTACAATATCATCCCTCCTTGCATACTAATTCCTGACTGCCCCTACACTATCTTAGCTGTGTCCAGCTTTACCGGCCACGCTATACGCACTGTAGTATGTCCAGTGGAGCCGATGCTACAGAATAAAGCGTTTGAACAGACTATGACAAATCACTGGGCAAACACATCTCAACAGCATGAAGCCAGACAAGCGAAGTCCTGTTAAGTTCAGAAACAAAGCTGATCAGCACCTCCTCCGATACACAAACAGTTTTCAGAAGCCTCCCATCCCAGGTTCCCTCGCTCCTACTCACATTATTTAAGCTAAACTATACCAGGCATTAATGCATGTCAGAGTGCCTTAATGCACTCAGTGGGTCCTAGATGTCCTCCTCAACTGTGGCCTCTGCCAGAGCAGAGCCCCCACTTTACGAAAGGATGCTTGTAAGAGAAGGAGGGAATGACTTTGCAGGATGCAGTGCTCCTGTAGGGATATAAGGATCTGCTCCTGCTGTATTCATGCTGTTTCCCACACTTTGAAAATCCCTTTAAAAAAGAAAAACGGTAAAACATACTTAACAATTTAAAAAAAGGGAGAGAGAAAGAAGTAATGATTATCCCAAAATGGGGAGAAAAGGATTAAAATTACATCTGTTAAGATATATCTATATGTATATGAACATCTAAGAACTTTTACCAGGTAGATCAATAAACAAACCTGCAACCACTGCATTGAAATATTCTTATTTATTCTATCCTGATGAATTATTCAGTTCTTCTTTCACAGTCCCACAGCAAACCATGGCTTCTTTTTGCATGCATTACAAGTTGTTCATCATTTATACTTCAATTAGTTTGACATTTTAAATATTTGCAATTTCCTTCCCCTGCTTTTCATAAAAAGATGAAATAGGAAAATTTAAATGGTCTAATCTTTTTGTACAGTATCTTACCTCCTTAAAAACGGAAAACTGTATTTGCTTTTGCAGCTAAAATACTGAATTTATGGTATCTCTTCACAATTATTAATCAAAATGGTGTACCTGAATGAAACTTACTGTGGTCATTCTTTGTTCTACCCAAGCTAATCTCGACAACGTAAAGATAGATGACTACATTAAAAAAAATAAAAACAGTCTCCGTTTAGGCTGGCTTATACAATAAAGAAATCACAAGTAAATAAAAACAAAATAGATTAGTTATTCCATTAGTACAGTATTTGAAATATAAAAATCCAGAGAGAAGTCTGCAACACATAGGTCATTGTTTGATGCTATCACAATTAGTGGTTTATGACAGAAGCTCACAGAAGAATTCCATTTGCAATCGAAGAGTTTTACACAGAAAGGACTTGACTTTATGTATCAAAATCCTCATCTGGCTCAGTAACTAATCTGGGCATTTAATTTCAGGTATTTTGCTTAGAGTAAGACATCCTTATTTTTATCCAAAGTAAGAAGTTTACCGCGTTACTTATTTTTTCTACGAAACGGAGATTCCTACTTTTTTAGAAGTCTACTTGATGATGAAATCTACGTTATATATGACGGATGAGAGAAGTTGGACCTCACATGTAAGACAGATCTATGGCCACTCTTGGCCATTCAATTCCCTCATCATCTAAGACTCCTCCATAAACCTCCTCTACATCAGCCCTGAATCTGCTCAGCTAGCTGGACAGTCCTAGACCCTGCTGAATCATTCGAGGCGGTGGGTACCCACTTCTTCAGCTGCATCAAGCATCAGGTCAATTTATCTTGCTACTGGCTTATTTGGAGGCAGTGTCCTTGTGTTCTGTCTTCTGTGGCAAAGCATGAGCGCATTAGTGGAGCACTGCGCTGTGAAGACCAGGCAAGGAAAAGTCTCTGCTGGACTCCAGGCAGAGACAAGGAAGTGCCTCAGATGACACTGAAACTACTGGCACCAGTGTCCACGACACAGGCAAGTTTAAACCCCTATCTTAGGATTTAATGATGCTAGAACAGACATCAAAGTGGAAGAGGGAGCAACAGCTTGTTGAGAGCACAGCAACAGTGTCAGGATGAAGAAGGAGCCACATCAATAACTGTGGCTTGGAAGAAGGTGTGGAGCTAGAGCTGGTAAGGCACAGCTGCTTGCCAGTGCTGTCAGGTGTGCTAGCTTGAGTCTCTCTCTTGAAAATAAATTATTTCTATAGGGAGAGTCTGAAACACTTAGAAAGTCGGTTCTCCCTTTTAAAGACGTTTCCTCTCGCTATACGCAAAGCAGATGCTACTGTGCTTTCCCACCCTCTACAACACCTCCTGTCACAGAGCACACACGAGAGGTGTGCCTGCAAACGCTTGACCGTCACCCCGAGTTGTCACTCCTCCATATAATGCTGGAAGCAACTGCCTGTTGACGCTTCCACAGGTGATCTCCAGGCTGACAGAGCCTTACTCCCTAATATTAGGGTAAAACGGGGTGCTGTCTGGAGGGCGCTGCAATGCCTACCTAGAAGGTTCACGCATTTTTTTGCTGTGTGGCTTGATGCGTGGTGAGTGTGATGTACCGTGAGTGGGGCAGTAAAGGCAGCCCAGGGTGAACACATGAAAGTGAATTAGCAGCAGCAGTATGATTATTTAAAAATTTTCATACTGGTATAATTCTGTAGCGCAAATGTGTCTGAGAGCATTCGGGAAGAACAGACTTCCAAGCTTGCCGTCATGAGTCCTACAAGATGAACAGTCTGAGAAGAAACATCCTCTTGCAGAACTGGCTGTGAATTATTGCAACTGCATGTTTTATGCACTATTTTTCTGGGTTTAAGGTCAAGGAACAACAAACCAAGCAAAAATACCCAAGAAACTTTGTGTTTATGCCAGATCTCAGAAGTACAAAGTC